TTTCCTACTCATGTCTCTGATGATGAATCCGCGACGGATGTCGAAACGTCAAACGAATAAACGTATTGTCCCAGCGATTGAGTCTTCTTCTTAACTGACGTTTGTGTGGCCTCACGCTGCGACCAACTCACCTTCCCGACTAGACAATCTACATCCTGATAGCTCTCTCTCTCTGTGCATTATATTCGAAGTTATCTATCCTCCTCTCTGGCTCCTCGTCAGTCCCCGCAGTTGTCCTCTTAGTCTTCACTGGCATTCTGTAATCTACTAAAATATGGTGATCATCTTATAAGATGCACTCTTCGTATGCTTGCTTCATCATCAAATTTGATGAAGCCGAAATTCTTGCAAGAGGCGACAATCGTCTTAGCCGACAATTATTTGAGTCATGGTTCACGGGCCCCCAGTCCATAAACAGGTGCAACGACTTGCCCAATCCACATTCGGTGCTGAAGCTCAACTTTGTCAAAGCAGGTGGCCACTCGGCGAACGCATAGGCCACCGCGTCGTCTTACGTCAACATCGGGTAACCAGATAGTCAGGAAATCATTACGTGCAATTCCACCACGCGTGATGCAAGTTCAACAGGTCACGGCGGTGACCAAGCGATCTACGCACAAGAGGGCAATTATCATTATTTGTCATACGTGTGTCCTATACATTCAGCAAATTCCTGTGTATGTATTACCTGTTTCTCAGCTATTTTCTGCTCATGTCTCTGATGGAGAATGCGCAACCGATGTGGAAACGTCAGGCGAATAAAAGTGTTGTCCCAGCGATCTAACCTTCTGCTTCTTCTCAATTACTTCCTGGGACGCGCATATTCGCTGGTATTGGCAATACTGTAATCTACTAAAATATGATGATCATCTCATAAGATATACTCTTCAGCCGTCGACGCTTCTTCCCCTTTATTCGAGATGATGGCTTGACAGCTGGTTACGGTGGAGAGGCGCCTCACTGAGGAAATTTTGAAATATCTGACTTGTCCGCCTCAGACGCGTCCGGTGACTGCGAAACCACACCCCCTTCCCCCCTCTCCTTTCAGTCTAAAGCAACTTTCGTCAAATTCCCGAAGTCTTAGTATCGAAAATCCGCCATCTCGATTCTACCAAGCGCTCTGGGGTGTCAGAACACTTTGACGCAGAAATTAGCATCTAGTTGATTTTTTTCGTCCAAGTATTTTATCTCAATGTTCCCGCTTTTCTATGAGCTATGGCGTTTGGAATAGTGAAAGTTAAAATTCTTGAGTATTTTAAAACGAATGCTCCCTCGATACTGTTGTCCCACTTAGCTGTTCTTTTTCACTTTAAGGGCATATTTTGGGGA